ATTGAATCATTTGCTGGTCCGTGTAACGCTGAGGAACAAAACACGGTTGTTCGGAGACACAGCGGTTCTGCTGTTTGTTCGATTTTCTTTCTGACGGAGCAAAACGTGATTTTGTGTCTGAAAGTTACTCTGTAAATTGTTGTTTATTGTACATTTGCGATCGTGCTGATATAAAAAAAACAAAAAACAAAAACAAGACTCTTGTTTGTGTGATAGGCTAAGTCCTATATCATAGGCTTAGCTATGTTATAAAAACAAACTCATTAAATTGCTTATTTAAAATCATTTTAATGACATTTCTTCCCCACTATGTGTAATAGCAGTAAGACGAGAGAGAGCGCTCAAAACTCGTCAGATGATCGCATAATTTAGTGGAACATTAATATAGTAATATAGAATCATCCTCTGTAAAGAAATGAGGTGTGAACATTTGAGAATTTATCATTATCTTTCTAAATGTGCGCTCTTTGGGGCTAAAGGCTTAATGGAGCTGTTTAAAGTAGCCATGTGATCAAACCAATAGGTGCAGACGTGATTCAATACGTGTGTCCTTCTTCTATGTGGAATAATCATAAATACCAGTTTATGCTGTTTGATTGTGGCCTCGAAGGTCGTAGTTGTAAGCTGTAGCCCCGGCTGGCCTGTTTAGATCCTGCGTGCGCAGTGGAAAGATAATGCGGCTAATAATTTCTGAATTCTGACTGGCATATAACGAACAAATCAAACAAACGTAAACGGGCAAAGGCGGGGCCCATGGGCTGCAGCACACTCAAGCCCAATGGTAAGTCCGGCCATGCTCTTGAGCATATGTACACCATCACTAAAGGCACGTTCACAACAACGACTGCTGGCCAGAGGACGATACGTTTGTTTATTATAATCACGGGTTGCAGTTTTGTCGTCTAATTTTAAATGCTCAAGCTTTTTAAAGTCCTGTATTATTGTTATATTTTCCATTTTTCATTATTTTACAGTGAAATATTACAATATCAATATTTATTATTGCTTAATATTTTTATGTAATGATAAATAAATAAATAATACTTCTCCTGAAGGTCTAGAAGTGCTTGAGACTTAATCTTTCCGTTGGTTTGTCTCCTGTATGTGCTCACAGGCAAAATAAAAATGTCAATAAATAATACTTATGATACAATTATGTGTGTGTGTGTGTGTTTATATATATATATATATACGTATACGATGTTTAACATTAATTGTTAATGTTTTGTGTATTCTAATCAAGAGCTGTAGTTTTGTTGTGCAGCTTTAAATGCTCGAGCCCTTTGAAGTCAATATTACTTTTTCAAAAAAAAAAAAAAGATTGTACAGTGAAATATTGCAATAGAAATATTTCCTATTTAATATAAATAAATAATTTAACTTTACATAAATAATAACAATTAAAATGAGAAAACTGTTAAATTTCTCCTCTCAATCTATCTTATTAAATAAAATTCTTATTTTAGTCATATTGATTGCTGCCCTACAAATAAGTCCTGCAAACCTGGAGCTGTTTTAAAATGACATTTTAAATCACAATCACAATTTTTATCAGAAAAATTTAATTTCCACCCCCAAATCATGCAGGTCACAATTTTGTATTTTTCAGGTTGAGTAGATAATTGTAACTTTATCCTACAATTCTGACATTTTTTTTTCCCTCGCAAATCTCAGATATAAAATCAGAATTGTGAAATACAAAATTGTACAAATTGTGAGTTAATATCTTGGAAATTCATGCAATTGTGAGGAAAAAATGTCAGAATTTTGAGAGAATTTTTTTATTGTTCGATACACTATTTATAGTCTATTTATTTTCTGTGATATTTAACAGCATGACAGATGCATTATGTAGAGCAGTGTTTCTCAACCAGGGGTCCATGGACCCCTAGTGGTCCTTGACATAAGGCCAGGGGGTCCGTATAAAGTATGAATTTTTGTATAAATTTTTTATATTTTGACATGACATGTTCCCATGAAAGAAAAATCCAATATAGCTGATGATATGGCCAAATACTGGACAAGTCAGCTAACTTGAATTATACTTGACTGCATTTGGTCCTCACAAAGACACAAATGATACGAGTCAATTTTGTTCTGGGGGTCCTTGAGGATGGTTCTGAATTGGACTGGGGTCTGGTACGCCAAAAGTTTGAGATTCACTGATGTAGAGCTTAACTAGTTTCATTAATCTAATCACTGCATCTGTGTGATAATGATGGTCCAGTTGCTATGGCAAAAGCAGTGTCTGTTTGGTTGCAATGAAGCTCAGTGTCCTCTGTTCTCTCTCCTGGACACGTTTGTCTTGACTCTGCTTAATGGACGGAGAAAGTGCATTATGTCCAGAGCACTCGACAGTAAATGGGCCGTTATAACCACTCGCACACTCCCGCTGTGCAGCATTCTGTCTCTCATGCCGTTAAACCGTTTTAAAGTGGCTCTTAGTGGGTCAATCTCGCATCCGGATCGGATTTCACCTCAAAATCAAATGAGCATCAAAATGTAAGCTGAAGTATGCAAATTCCCCGCTGACCTTTGACCTGTGCTGCAGGTGTGTGATGAACGGAGCCTCAGGTGCAGGGGTGGTGACGGCCCCCCCGCCCACCAACCCCCCTCATAAGGAGCGTTATTTCGACCGCGTGGACGAGAGCAGCCCGGAGTACCAGAGAGAGAGGAACATGGCACCGGACCTGCGGCAGGACTTCAACATGATGGAGCAGCGCAAGAGAGTCTCCATGATCCTGCAGAGTCCAGTGAGAGCACAACACACAGACGCACACACACACACACTCTTACACAGACATGCACAAGCACACACACACACACGCTCTCACACAGACACACACACACACTCTCGCATACACTCACACACACGCACACACACACACACTCTCACACGCACGCACACACTCACTCACTCACTCACACACGCACACACAGACACGCACGCATGCGCACACACACACACACTTTCACACGCACTCACACGCGCACGCACACACGCACACACGCACACACACACTCACACACAGACACACACAGACACGCACACTCTCACTCTCTCTCTCTCACACTCACACTCACACTCACACACACACACATTTAGATCAATATTCTGATAACAAAAGAAATAATTAAGATTTTTTTTATGTTTCTGAAAGAAGTCTCTTCTGCTCAACAATGCTGCATTTATTTGATAAAAAATACAGTAAAATTGTGAAATATTATTGCAGTGTAAAATAGCTGTTTTCTATGTGAATATCTGTTAAACTGTAATTTATTTCTGTGATCAAAGCTGTATTTTCAGCATCATTACTCCAGTCTTCAGTGTCACATGATCTTCAGAAATCATTCTAATATGCTGATTTGCTCAAGAAACATTTCTGATTATTATCAATGTTGAAAACAGCTGTGCTGCACAATGTTTTTGTGGAAACCATGATATACTAAAAAGTTTGGGGGAAATATTTTTTATTTTTTATTAATATTTTGTATTTTTATATTAATACTTTTATTAATCAAGAATGCATTAAATTGATCAAAAGTGACAAAGACATTTATAACATAAGAAAAGATTTCTATTTCAAATAAATGCTGTTCTTTTGAACTTTCTGAAATCCTGAAAAATAAAATATATCACAGTTTCCACAAAAATATTGTGCAGCACAACTGTTTTCAACATTGATAATAATCAGAAATGTGTCTCGAGCAGCAAATCAGCATATTAGAATGATTTCTGAAGATCATGTGACACTGAAGACTGGAGTAATGATGCTGAAAATACAGCTGCGCATCACAGAAATACATTACAGTTTAACAGATATTCACATAGAAAACCGTTTGAAATAATATTTAATATGTAACAATATTTTACAATGTTTTTATTGTTTTTTATTTAATTAATGCAGAGACTTTTTTCAAAAATATTGACTTATCTAACTTATGTATGAGTGTATTTGATTTGATCTTAAAATTTTGATATTATTGGTTACTTTCATATTTACATCAGCAAAAAGATTCAAAGTTATTACATTTTGATAAAAGATTATAAAGACAAAAAATGTTTTCTTTAGAATAATGTGCACTAATGTATCGTTCACATCAACACCAACAACATTAAGAAAGTAAATAGTCATTTTTGATTTCACATTGTCTGAAATTCATTAATTTTGTTTATGAACCATCATTGAAAGGCTTTTGTTTTGTAATAATGCACGTCTTCTGACTGAGAAACAGTCTCTGGATTGTACATCTGTTAACGAGAGTTCATTCAGCTCTCAATAATCCCCTCATGACTGACGTCTCAGTATGCCCGGCGATCGTGTGTGTGTGTGTGTGTGTGTGTGCGCGTGTG